CACCGAGGGTTGCGATCCCGTTGCCGGTCCCGGTCCGGGCGCGACACTGAGGGTTGCGATCCGTTGCCGGACACGAAAAAAGACAAAAAAAAGACAAAAAAAAAAGCCTAAGCATTAGATTTACAAAACAAAAAATTTAAGATTGAAAATTCTTGTTAACTGTTACCTTAGATTACAGTCAAAAGGCAATTAAAGCAAATAATTCCCCACACTGGAAATGTTAACACCTCTTATTTAAGTTTTGTTTTTTAAAATGTCTCTTGGGTTTTTATGGGCTTATTCATTGTCTTTCCTGTTGCTGCCAATCATTTTAAGAGATCCTTTAAACTACTCTTAAGTATGAGTAGTATTGACCTTCCTACTCAATGTGGGAACGGAGATACAGCCAGACTATAACATACACCAATAGTTTCAGACTCCTGTCCAGGACCTCAAACAGGTTTTAAACTTATCGAAGTGAACATGGGTCCTGTAAGTGGCATTTGTGTGAAGAGGCAATGGAAAAGGCTGGCTACATACCACAAAGTACATATATTAACTCAAAAGCAAAATAAAAGGCCTTTGTAAGGTAACAGAGGAAAAATCAGACAAATGGCATTCAGCTTGTGTAGTTTTAACTCTGAGTTTTTGATGTGTTTTTTTTTTAACTCTGATTTTTGATAGTGTCATATTTGTAACAGATAATCAGAGATTGTTCTTCCACTGGTACTGTACCTTGTTTCCTTGATTTAGATACACCTGTTTTTCATGCTTTAACATTTCTGAAATTTACATGTGGCTTATAATACATGTGCATATTTAATGTGGGAATGTTCTTATGGCCCCCTTACCCACCTGGAGAAACTGTTTAAATTGAGTGTTTTACAATCAATTTTGTTTTTGATTTTTGGAATTCAATAATAACAATGTTTCGAAGTGATTTTTAAGAGCAAAGTGTGTTTTTTTAAAAGTGCTTCATAGAATGCTTTAGAGCAGTATTTTCCCAAGTATTTTCTTCATATTATCAGTTCCTATGTAAGTGTTTCTAAAAGGAGGCCAAGGGGAAGTTCAGTGGTCAAATAAGTTTGGAAAATGCATCTTACTTTTAGAGCTTCATGATGGACAAAAGCCTTCTAAGGTTCTGAGAAAGCCCTTAACAAAAATAAAAACAAAAATAAAAACTTTTAAAACTTCTTTTTACTAATATTTCCCAAACTCATCTGACCCTGAAATCCTTTTTTAAGGCCTGTTGGCACTCCATTTTGGGAAATGATACTATGTAGAGTTGATTAATATAAGTATAGAACAAAACATTTTCATCAGGTTATTTTAAAATACTTGCCTGTTGCAAATCAAAAAGATAACTAATATTTCTATACATCTGTGCATCTAGTTGTCATGAGAATCTTTTCAAAGTCAGGATTGGGTGGATTAGATTATCAGCTTAGTCAAATGCGGTCTAATTTTTACCTGCCTCAACAGTGCAGTGTTGCCCAGTCCGTATTAGCCCTTGTTCACCTCATAGATTTGGCGTCACTCCACTTGCTGAACTTCATGGCGATACATCTGATCAACAGAATTTCTGATGTTATGTATCACAGGTTGTCAGCTCTGGCACTGCAGTTTTATTCTTTAGCTCATTCCACCTGTTTTTCCTTTTTTAAAAACAACTTTATCAGGGCCGGCCCGTGGCTCACTTGGGAGATAACACCAGGGCCAAGGGTTCGGATCCCTATATAGGGATGGCTAGTTGGCTCACTTGGGAGAAGCGTGGTGCTGACAACACGAAGTCAAAGGTTATGATCCCCTTATCGATCATCTTTATTAAAAAAAAAAACAAAAAGCCCCCCAACAAAAACCCCAATTTTATCACTAATTTAAATATATTGGTAAAGTATAGGTATTGCTGGATTTTTATCTTGTATTGTGCTCTGTATTTATTGTAGACTATTTATAGTAAATTGCTGGGGGAGCCATAGAGCTGGAGTAAATTCATCCCTTCCCTGTCTTCTGCCAGGCAGAAGTGGGGGCAAGGTGGTTCTTGCAAATGGGGATGACCCCCTACTGTCTTCAAAGTAAGAAACATCTTTATCCCCTGAGTAATGGGAACTGCAAAATATTAAGCAGACATGTTCTTTGACATAGTCAGTAAGCATTTATTAAATACCTACTTTGTATCAGATGATTGCTCAGTACACAGGTCTAAAAAGTAAGAATCAACCAATCCTTGCTGCCCTCAGAGTTGAATCTAATTGGTGAGACAACAGTTGCGTTAATGATAAATTGCTAACAATATATTGTGCTTAGTGTTATAAGAAAGAAGTAGATATAGGAGGCTCTGGGGACATCCAACTCAGATTCTGAGCTTTGGTGAAGGAATTAGAAAGTCTGAGCCTGGAGGACATTTAGCGTTTGGTTATGCAGGCACGGGGATAAAGGACATCACTGACAGAAGGGACAGCTTATGTAAAAGGCATGGGGTTGTAAAAGGTAAGGAGTTTGGAGACTGCAGGTAGCTTGGCTTTGTACAGGATATCTGTGATAGCAGGATAGAGGATGAGGTCAGAAAAGAAGGAAGCCCAGTGGTTTATGACCCTATATGGTTGCTGTGCTGGGCAAAGAGTTTAGAAGACTGTCCAATAGATGGTTCTTGATTTGTCTTAGCACTTTTCATATAATTAATTCATTAATGAAAATCAATATTGAATAAATTCCTTAAGTTTAGATGCATTTCCAGATGATAATCATATTATTTAATGTTTATATCATCATCTTGATGATTCATGGGCCTGACCATTTAATAAATTACCCCCAAATGCATTAGCTCTATTCTTAAAAATCAGTTTTATTGAGGTATAATTTACTTACAACACCAGTTTTACATGTACAGTTCAGCGAGTTTTGACAAATGCATACATTCAAGTAATCATCACTCCTATAATCATGACATAGTATATTTTTTAATCAGCCTGCATTATCTTTTAATCAGAGATAGGTAAACTAAATAATTAATTCTTTGAACCCTGGAAGATGCAATATCTGAAGAATAGAGAAATAAAAAAAAAAAAAATCAACCTTTAAACCAGAAAACATTTTTTTCTATAAAACCCAAACATGGGAAACCTTTGTACAAGTGTTGCTTTTTGTTTGTTTGTTTTTTCTCTTGGAATCTTCACTAGGAAAAGGAAGAAGCAAACACCTGTAAGAAGTTGTCTACAAAGTAACTGGTGTGATGTTCCGTAAAATTCTTAGGGGTGGAGGAAGATACAGCCATCAAGAAAACAAAACAAAAATTTAAAATACTGAATGGGGGGAACCTCAGATCTGAGTTCTAGCAAACAACAGTGATACTTAATAGCAGAGAGTTATTAGAAGCAGTTTCAGTTGTCAGCGGTCTTAGTTTTCTCACCCATAATATGAGGGATTGAATGGCATATTCTAAACTGTATTATGCAGAACTTTAGAGTTTTGTGAGATGTGATGTTAGAAGTTATAGGTTGGGGACAGGACCATTAGGAATAAGGGCTATATTTTGAACTGGGGAATAGATAGAGTTAGGTTTGATGTTGGCAGATAGGGGAGAAAAGTGCATCCTCTGCTCCACCGTTGTATTTCTCTACATTCAACCGACCTTTTATTGAATTGGAGGTTAGGACACTTTCTGAAACAATTCTATCTGTAATTCTGCCTTGCAGTTATGATTCATTATAGACAGAGGTGGTTTCTCCAGTGTAATGAATATTGTCATTAAAACACCAGATTTATTTTCTTTCCCGGAAGTTATTACTTCTAAGAATAAAATATATGTTTAGAGATGAGAGGGACAAAGTTTATATTTTTAAACAATTATTTTATCCATGTTATTTGTTTGTTTTAACCAGTTACCCACGGGTGTATTGTTTCCACGATAAAACTTTTTCTACCAGATGGTATGGAAGCCCGGCTCCGCTCAGAGTAAGTACAATATAGTGCTGTAAAGTTTTTGGATTAATTACCTTGATGAATAATATTCTCGATGATGGTATACTGTTAAACATCAGGATTATTTTAATAATGTTAGAAAATTGATGTAGTGCTTTTTTGGAATATAATATACTTCAGTTTAAATTGCTTTTCACATTAGTTGCAATTCTATTAAATAATACTGTATCACAGGCAGAGGTTATTTTGTTTCTATATCTAACTTTACAATTCATATTTTGATGGATAATTGGTTGTTTTTCACAATGTTTAGGTATGTAAATTATTGGTGGGCGACATCTCCATTCCTTTTGATCTGTATTTAATATATAGGACTTCTTAGACTGTGATTATCTCTGAAGTTACTGCCAGTGTCACAATCTTACAAGACTTTGAGAATGTTGATATAGTTAGTAGCTTATTTTGATAGGAGTTTTCTGAGGTTTTTCCCAATGTTGTGTTTATTTTTTGTGTGGAACAATATAAAGGTAACTTAGAAGTGGACACCTGAAAGGAAAAAATTGCTCATTAAACCTAGATTTTAAAATGTAAACATAAGTATATTTTTATCTTGTGCTTTTCACAGGTTATCATTATGAAATGTTGAAGGCAGTTAAGCAATTTTTAAACAACATTTTTTGTTTTGGGGGGAAATCCTTGAATGTGCCAGAAGCTTGTTTCTATACCCAACATATTCTCTGTCCTTCAAAAGCAGAGATAATGATCTGAGGGTGGGAAGTTGAGAGAAGCAGTAAATTGGAGGAAAAGTAGGATAGTGAGTAAAAAAAGAGAGAAAGATTAAGCAGAGAGAGAGAGAGAGAGAGAGAGGAGCTCTCCCATTATTGTGTTAGTCTGTGCTTTCATTAGAATCATATATTTTATGCTTCAGTTAGAAGCTACCATTTTTTTTTCAGTTTTAAGCATATCTGAAACAAAGTAGAAATTTCAAAACATTTTAAATTTAAAACAGTCTCTTTTCTATTTTAAATTATAGTTTAATTATTAAAATTACAGTAAACTTTAGGAACTTTCATGTAACTTAGCTTTTATGAGTTAAGAGTTAAGGTTTTAGAAATAAGAGTAACTTGGGCCGGCCCGGTGGCGCACTGGATAAGTGCGCCGCTTGGGAAGCGCGGCGGCGCTCCCGCCCGAGGGTTCGGATCCCACATACAGACCGGTTCCCGCTCACTGGCTGAGCGAGGCGCGGGAGCAACACCGAGGGTTGCGATCCCGTTGCCGGTCCCCGGTCCGGTGCGGGGGCCACACTGAGGGTTGCGATCTGTTGCCGGACACGGAAAAAGACAAAAGACAAAAAAAAAAAAAAAAAAAAAAAAAAAAAAAGAAAGAAAGAAGAGTAACTATTAATGCCAGCACCCATGGACAACCATTTTGGGTATGTATCCATTTCTCTGCAGATATGCACATATAGGGAAATGAAGTTAAGAAAATCTAAATGGAAGCAAATGATATTAATGGAGCTTTTTAAAAATCCAGTTTTGTTAGTGACCCAGGTACAAAACCTGTTCTCATGAAAATCTGTTTAACAAACAAAAGGCTAAAAATCCAGCAATACATTCCATAATTGATCCATTTTTTATTTTGCAGAACTATCTTAGATATAGGTGTATTTTGTTTGAATTATGGAAAAAGTTTATGTGCATATAAAAAGCAGAACAAGGAAATATAGAAAATGAAAAGTTAGTGTTAGGAGGGTAGGATTATAGGCAATTTCTCTGTTTCTTATCATTAGGAAATTATTTGTGCAATATAATCAAGAAAGAAAAAGTATCAGCTTTTTGAGAATTACCTGCTGAATATCTTAAAAGCACTGAATGTCATGTACACAATGAAACTTAAACTCTGGGCGTTCTGGCTTACCCAAAAGCTAATGTTCATTGTGTGTTTATTATATGTCAGATACTATGCTCAGCTCTTTAAATATACAATCTTGTTTAATCCTCATAAAACTCCTGCTCAATAGGTACTACTATCATCTTCATATTTCAAATGAGAAAAGTGAGGCCTGATCATGTCACAGAACAAGCAGAGTCAGACTTTGAACTGGACTATCCACCTCTAAAGACCATTCTGGATCTTCCTCCAGCTCTAGAAAATTGCCTGTTCAAAATTCCTTATTCTTTACTTCACACATTTTTTATAATCAACATATTACTTGTATAGTCAAGAAAAATAAATTTATGTTTAAATGTCTATTCTAGTTTTATGGAATAGAGAAGAAAAACTAAAGTTATATGTAATTTTTAAAAAAACCTTCATTAGGCACCATTAGTCACTTTATTAGGGCCTTTGATAAGTTTCAGGGATGTAGGGGTGCATTAATCATAGTTTTTGAGAACACAGACATGTAATCAAAGAAGAACAGTAAGAAGTTACATAGGCTTAGTGAAGTCTGTACAGGATATCATGGATACTCAGAAGGGAAGTGGGTGCTGTACTTAGTATTCCATTTTATTCAGCATTTTAGGCTATTTGTGACTAGTTGAATTGGAACAGTTCTTAGGGTGTTTGCAATTATTATAGTGGGATCAGAATTATTCCTATTGTTAAGTGGAGCCAGATCTGTTTCTCAGCAGCCTACACATAATTAACCAGTTGAACCCAGGAACTTTACCCAGTCAGCCTTCAAGCTGGTCATCAGTAGGGTGGCCTCTAGGATTTAGAGTGACTAACAAGTGGTAGGGACATGGTGGTAGTCTTGCTCTGTGTCCCCTTTACTCACCCCAACACACATACAGTATCTTACAGGGCGTAGTAAAATAGGGACTTTGGCTACCTTAGCTGTTTTGTTGTCATGGGAGTGGTAATAGTGATTGAGTGCTTACTATGTCCTAGGCACTGTTTTAAGCTCTTTATTTATATTATCACATTTAATACTTATAATAACCCTGTGGGATTGGTTTTATTATTACCTTCATTTTATGAATGAGGAAGCTGAGACCAATGTTAGTCAGTCAGTTTGTCTTTCAGTTGGTAAGTAGAGCCGGAATTTGGACTCATTATAGCTCAGTTAGTTTCTGAAGTGGTAGAGAAGAATAGTACTACTGTTTTGGTAAGCTGAAGTTACTCTTCACTGGAACAGGTTTCCAAATTATAGCCTTTCTTTCTAGTAGAACTTTGCTTTTTAAGACTTTCTGTATAGGAATGTTTAATTTTAAAATAACTTAATTTACACATTCCAAAACTGAAAATGGCTCATTTGAACAATGCTTCTTTACTGTATAGAAATTCTTATAAAGGAATTTGTTTTTAGAAATATATTGTTGTATAAAGGTAGGTTTATATATTTATTATTTTGTTTCATAAGAATTTTATAAATTTATGAAGGATTAAAAAATAATTCACATTCCTTTAATTATGTGAAGGCAAATGTATCAACTTTGTGGTTTAAGATATTATGGCACTCTCATACCGTTTCCTCTATTGTCAGGAAATCAGATAAAAATTCTTAATTTTACTTTTCAGTGTCATCCATGCTCCATTACCAAGTCCTGTTGACAAAGTAAGTTGCTAATGATTGTTTTTTCCAAAGTAACTCATCAATATTGCTTTGAAAATGTTTCATTTTAGTATGCTTTACCTAGAAACTTATTTCTCTTTTGTAACAAAATATATAGAGCACATATAGCTATATAGTTATTGCAGTCTTCTGATCTTCAATATCTGGAGAATTTAGGCTGGATGTTTCTTCAGAAAAAGGCTTTGTTATCTCAAATGAATTGTTGGTTGTGTAGACTAGGAGGACCTGTTTTGTGCCTAGCTAGAGGTAAGGAGTGTTAGTTATTACTTTTTTTTTTTTTTTTTTTGACCAGTAAGGGGA